TTTGAATCAATTACATTAGTAGTCTCCGATTTATTGTTTAAGTCTTCCATTTCATTTTCATTATTCAATTCCATGATTTTTATATAAAATTTATAGTCAAGAATTCTCAAAGCTAGTGAAGCAATCTGATGAATCCTAAAACAGTCAGTTTGTTGTTTGTTCTTCCAATGAACCCTATAATTGAACAAGCAAATTAGCTTGTTCTAAAATATCTGTATAAATATAAGACCAGAAGCATCAATAAATTTTCCTAGAGCTTATAAAAATGCCAACTCTTTGAAAAGATCCTAAAAATGTCAGTATATTACCAAATTGTGGTTTGTCATCATATTGAATTTTCATATCCATTTTGGCAATGTTTAAATCATAGGAACAAATGATGCTATCTTGGCCGCACTCTTCCACAATTTGTTGTATTATTTTTTATTTTTGTTTGTATCTTCTATATATGACTGTATATAGAATATTCTATATGTATCAGTACACTACCGTCGCTCTCCACAGCTCTACTCTCTACCGCTACTCCGCTTCATTTTTATTTTATACTTCAATATGTCAATTAACAATAACTAGCGAAGTTAAAATCACGATAGCATGTTTTTACTCCAAAACTATTAACACTATACTTGTCTTTCGTTGCAATCATACGATAATACTTTGTAAAAGATGGTACATGTATTTCCTACTTTCGACGTAGGAATGTCAATAAATCTATTTTTTTTTAAATATTTTTTTTATTCAATTATAACTAACTTATATATATATATATATATATATATATATATATATATATATACAAGCAAAGCTTTTTTATGAATTATGAAATTAACTTATATCTCGTTTTTCATTTCTCAAAGTGTATTTTTATGTTATTCAACCTGTTCAATATTGGGGGACCCGGTTCATGCCATATGACCGAGAGCCCTTTTCTTGAGATATAAAAAATAAAGAAATTTTCTATGGAGGAATACTTGTGAATATATAAATGGCTTACGTACAGTTTGATGAGGGGGCCGGTCTCGCGCCTTCTCGCTCACTCTCTCGCTCTCTCGTTCGTCTTAGGTCCAGGAAATAGCCGAAGGGCTGTGATTCTGGAGGTCTTTATTATTTTTTTATTTGTTTTCCACCCTCCCATGCCACCAGGGCAACACGGGTGTATGCAGTAGTGTGATGTTAAGCACTAATGCATAATAACACACTACTGCTATAATATCAGTTTACAAAATTCTAAGCTGTGCACACAGCTAGCTCTTCCACTTCCTCATTCTTCAGCAAATTAGGCCTGGCTTCCCGAATCCGGAGGTCTTCCTGGGACTGGTCCTCTTCTCCTTCTGCGTGCACCTAGGTTGAAGTGAGCTGGGCCCACCGCCGTCTTCCAGCCATTTATAAACTCTTTGAACCGCGGGAAGTTTTCTTCACTCACCAACTGAGGAAACTCCTCCTCAGTGATGACGTAAATCCCAGTGGTTCTCATTAACCTGGCTCTTAATTCGTCGAAAGCAGTGCAGACCGTGACCACATGCTCAACAGTCTCCGGAACACCACAATCGGGGCAGTGGGGATCTATATCCTGTCCGAAGCCATGAAGTTTAGCTCTGAAACCCCCATGCCCCGTGAGAAATTGTGAAACCCAATAGTCCGGGAGGACCCATTTCGCCTGTAACCGAGATTCAACGGTGGGAAAGTATTTTCTTAAGGTACTGCCTTTCGGAGTCGTCACCCACCGTCTGCTCCAATCTTCAATTGTTTCCTCCCGGATAATCTTTTTCCATTTATTTGGGTTTTCAATAATCCTCATCCGTAGGTTCTCCGACAGACCTGTTGAGCCCTCCCTCTTGTAATCAAACCTGGTCACTTCTTCTCGCAGGAGGAGGTCGAGAGGCACCACCCCCGCTAAGACCTGCACTGCTTCATGCGACGTAGACCTATATGCTCTGGTGACCCGAAGCAGAGCAGTCCTCTGAGTCGATGCTAGCCTATTTCTTTGTCTGAGTGTGAGGTTTCGGAACCAGAAGGGAGACGCATACCTAAGGATACCCTCCACAACACCCTTATAAATAGTGATAGTGGCTGGATACCTAAGGCCCCAAAATGCGCCCCCCACACGACTTAGACCGTTCATTGCTAGGGCCACCCTACCTGCCAGATATTCCAAATGAGGCGTCATATTGAGGCCTACACCTAACCTAACCCCTAGGTAGGTTACCACCTCACTTGGACGTATCCTCTGGCCTTCTATGTACATCGTTATAGGGTGTGCCCTATCAGTCTTTCCCTTAAGGAGGATGGCTTGAGTCTTGGCAGCAGCCATCCTCATCTTCTTCCCCTCACACCATCTAGCGACTAAGCCGGCGCATCGCTCTGCTTCTCTCTTGACTCCAGCTCTGCTGTTGGAGGCCACCACAGCAGCTAGGTCGTCAACGTACGCAGTGGCAGGAAACCGCTCCTCCTCTAACACTCCCAGTAACTCATCAAAGACGAGCTTCCATAGAGCAGGACCAAGCACCGATCCCTGAGGGCAACCTCTCTCTATGGAAGCTTCTACCTCGTAGTAATTGCCTCTAATCTTCACACTTCTGTCCTGGAGGTAACTTCTTACTAGTGTGTATAAGTTACTGGGAGCATCATACCTCTGCAGCTGCTGGAGCACGCTAGGCCACCATACGCTGTCGAAGGCGGAGGATATGTCGAAAAGGAGCAACATGACATACCGCTCCGCCCTCTCCTCAACATCTCTGCGCACTCTCAGCAGGGCATCAGCGGTTCCTCTGCCTCTGGTTGATCCATATTGTCGTGGATGACTTGCTCTATCGAAAACAGGTCGTAAACTAGTCATCATGAGGTTCTCCAGGACCTTGCTAATCACAGGGAGGAGACATATAGGTCTATATGAATTAGGGAGTTGTTTGTCCCTATCTCCTCCCTTGTAGAGTAGTCTCAAATCAGCGATCTTCCATCTTCTGGGAAAGTATCCCATATCCAGACATTCATTGAAAATACTCAACAGCCGGTCTTCAATATACGTGATACTATTCCTCAAGATCGCTGCATCTATTGCATCAAGTCCTGGAGCACGATTAGTCTTCTGCTTATCCACGGCAATACGAAGATCGTGAATGTCCCATGGTGGGCACAAATCTGAACCAGGTGGATATACCGTGGTGCGTCTCACAAAATCATCATTTTCGCTGTCCTGGGTTGGGTCATCTCTGGGATATATTGCTTCAATGAAAACATTGGCAGTTTCTTCAAGGGTGGTTGCCTGAGTATTATGATACCGCAAGGCTGCAATTGTCTGCAGCGGGGACAACTTACCCAATGCTACTCTATACGGAATACCCCAGGGATTCTTCACAGACTCTTTAATGATGAAATCGTCCCAAGACTTCCGCTTTTGTGAGCGAACCTCGTTTCGGTATATCCTGGCTTTTGACTTGTACTCATTGCGAAGTACAGTGCGCCTCTCGTCGCATCTGCACCTCTGATATGACCGCCGGGCCTTGTAGAGGTCTCGTTTTAGAACAGTTAAGGCTGGCGTCCACCATGGGACAGGTCGAACCCTCGCCTTCCGGTGCTTGAGGGAGTGTTCGGCAGCATCACGAATGTTGTTGGTAATCCTGGACACCTTGTAGTCCAGATTGTCGACTACATCCATCTCTGCTGCTTCCCACTCCTCGTCTGCAATCACTCCTTCCAGGCAGGACCTGAAGCCACTCCAGTCATTTATTTTAGTGACGAAACCCTTATCAGTACCGTGGGAACATCCTGGCTCATTTACCAGGCCAATTGATATTGCAACGTGATCGGAACTCGTATCAGATCTGAGAGTCCAATCAGCAATATACCTCGTAAACGCAGGCGTGGCGATCGTGACGTCAATCCAACTCTGCCCCATGCCTCCAGAGAAGGTAGGGGTGGCAGAGGGTTCGTTCATCACAACAAGGTGATTTCTTGCTATGAAATTTCCCATTTTAGCGCCTCGCCTGTCAGTAATATTGGACCCCAGACCGTGTTCCAGGAGTTGGTATCTGAGCACATGATCACATTCCTCATCTCTCTAATGATCGCCTCCATAGCGGATATGCTTTCTTCTACATCACTATTCACAGGTAGGTATGCCGATACCAATGTGAAAGAAATCTTGCCCCACTTAACATAGCAAGATGCATAATCCGCCATGGTGTGTTGCCTCAGATCCATCACGTCAAGGTTAGGATTATTAATCACTATTGCAGCCATGGGCCTCCTCTCTCCACTGCTCAGTGCTATAACCCTTGACGTGAGGCCGAACCCCGTAACCCTGTTCCCACGGCAGCTAGGTTCCTGGACCGCCATGATATCGTAGCGTTGTGCCATAGCCCGAAGCTCGTCAGCCACAATATGCCGGCGGCCCATATTCAACTGCAGGATGTTGAGTCTAATCATAGTGAGTTCTCCTCACTAATTCTTGAGATCTCTTGATGTGCACCGGGCATTCACGACTTCCTGCTTGGTGTTTAGCCTTACTTGTTTGAACACATTCCCTCAAGCAGTTAACGCATGTAGGTGCGGTCTTATTTCCTTTTGCAGGACAGTTTTTAGCAATATGCCCACTCGCCGCACACCACTTGCATACTATGTCATTTGCCTCACAAGTAGCTTTTGTATGTCCATATCCCTGACACCTTAGTCAGGGAGGAGCATCGGGGTAATCTAAGATTGTCAGTGACCACCAACCTCCTGTAATTATCTCCTCCTTGAGTAGATTATACCTTACCATTGGATGTACTTCTAACACCCAATTATTGGTAATTTTATTTCTAGCCATTTATGAGAACAATGGCTTTATATTGCCTAATTTGTTCTCAGAAATAGCGGCCGATTTCGCAGCCAACCTTTCCCATAGCACCCTTTCTAGATTTTCCGCAGTCCATGAAAGGGGAACTCTTTTTACCTCCACTTTTGGTTTTCTTTTTAAGGCTAGTTTTGCCTCCATCCCAACTTCTTTTAATTTTTGCCATTCAATTATTTTTTTTCGCATGGGCACCTTCATCTACACAAACTAAAACTGAGCCAGCTTTGGTAGCCCGTACAACTCTCGCCTTGATTCCTAGTTCAGTTGGAGAAGGCAGGTTGTTGATGATGTCAACTGCACTTTTACCTTGAGAAGCGATGGTAACATAAGTTGGTCTTGTAGTATCCATCGGTTTTAATGGAAGCTCTTTAACAATATCGGCCATCGAAGTCTGATGTGTAGACCTTTTCTTAGTCAAACTTTCCTCTGCTATAGGTTTAGAGGCCTCGATATCTTTGCCCACTTGTGGAAGAGCCTTTTTCCTTCTTTGCTTTTTCTTTACTTCCTGGAAACTTTCATTCTCCGTGTTCTCAAGAAGGGCATCGGCTAGTAGCGGTTGTTCTTTAATGCATGGAAACTCCCGAGATGTCTGAGGTTCTGACAGTGGTCTTTGAATGGTTTTACTTTCTCTCTTGATTCCCTCGATAACCATAGGTACTGCTTTTTCCACTAATGCATTTACTATGATATCATACATTTCAGAGGATGCTAATGTGTCCTTTACCACACGTTGTACTAAAACCGTTTTTTCATAGTTTTTATCATATATTGTCTCCATTATATCTATTAACTGTTGAATTTTCCCATTAACATGCTTTTGTACCTTCGCACTCACGTTCCTGTCTGTTGCGTTCATGTAGACCCTGATATTTTCTTTGATTCTACGTGCATCTTGCAGAAGACTATCGTCTACACGTTCTTTATCTGTTTCTTCTCGGGCGTCAGGAGATCCTTTCCTTTGCCTCTTTGCTGAAGGCCTTGGGCACTTTATAGCCTGTTCTTCCACCATTTCCATTGCTGATACAATTTCATCAGCCATCTTAGTGTTCGTCAACGTAATAGTCTCTAAACGTTTCCTTTGGTTAGATTAAACCTTCGTGAAAACCACAAAGTTAACCTTAACCTCCACTGTTCACTCAAAAGGTTTATAAAATTAACTAAATAAACATAAAATAAAACTAAACCATGTTCAAAAAACTATAAAACACTAAAATAGCACAAACAGTAGGATACGGTACAACAAAACTAACAGAACAAACTTGAAAAATACAAAACACTGAGAAGCACAATAATACCTTATCATAGGTAGATAACCTTCCAAAAAACCTCTGTAACCATATGAAATAACTCAAATATTGTACACGTCTGAGATTCTGGAGGTCTGGTCAGGAAGTAGCTGTAAGCTGTCTTTTGGCCGTAGATAAGGCCGTCTTAGAGAGGGGGTAGTGCAAGTTGAGATCGAGTTCCCCCGTGTTGTTTATATAACGATAATAGTCATATACAAAAATATGGATGTAAATCCAACACAACCATTATATATAGTTTTGATCATAGTTTTAAGTGATTTGTTCATAGTTTTAAGTGTTTTGGTCATAGTTTTAAATGTGTTGTACATAATTTTATCTGTATTGTATATAGCTTGTTGAACTAAGGTTTTCTTTACTTTTTAGTTAATTTTATCAATTTTATTTATTGTTTCAAACTTTTAGGCCAGTAATATTCTATTCTTTTTGTAAAATTTTGTTATTCTAAAGGGACTTAGTCCCAGAATAAAGTTTCTTTTCTATCTATCTATCTAAAGTGGACCTTTACTCATCCAGCATCTCCTCGTATCGGTGGTATTGTGGAGGCAGCTATTAAATCCGGTAAGAGACAGTAAGTAATTTTTGGAAGAGGTGGTATAATGAATACCTCCATAAGCTGGTACCTCGCAACAATTGGTATAGTGACAGCGACAATTTAAAGGAGGGAACCCTTGTAATTCTACATGAAAAAGATGTTCCACTGCAGGAATGGCGGCTTGCCAGGATAATAGAGACACTTCCAGGGCCTGAGAGTGTAGTTAGGGTTGTAAAATTGAGGACTGCTACAGCCACTTTATTGCGACCGGTGCACAAGTTTGTGCCTCTCCCTTCTGGAGAAACCTTTTATTGATATGAATATATATATATTTTTTTTTTTGCTTAAATTATGAAAAGCAATTTTATTTTAAATTAATTGTAATTTATTAGTCTACCTTTGATCTGGCTCACTTTATTTCTAAGTTTCCAAACTTTATTGTGAATAATTTCTCTCTTACTTTATTGTAAACCAAGCGAGTTTCCTCTCGTTTGTGCCTTGCCTGGTAATCAGCAATCCCTGGGTTTGTTTGTTTTTCTTTTCTTTTTATTTGGTTTGGCTAGCTAGATGACGGTTGTACGAGGTCATTTCTTCAGCGAAATGAATTCTTTCATCGTTATCCCAACCGAGGTGCCTGGTGTAGAAATCCTTTTTTATCCATCAGATTCGAAGCACATAGTATGGATCGTCTGGCGGACAAAACGCACGACGATCGCCGGCGGCCGGGTGTCCTCTCTTCTAGGTCGTTTTTTCCTACGAAATCTAATTCCTCAGTTTTAAGCTTCACACCTTGGGCTGTCCCAATGGAAAAAAACTATCCCCTCGGGCGTTTCTCTCCGGTCTTCGTAGGAATCCCCCTGAACTCGAGCCAGTGGAAAAACTGGGCCTGTTCTGCACAGTTTAATCTGATCTCCATATTTTTAGGTTATTATTTTCAATTAATAGCTCTGTATTCAATTAATAGCGCAATTCAAAGCAGAAATATTTTTACCTGAAACATAAAAAATCAAGTGGGTGGAACTTTTTGCCTGACAGTGTATAATTCAGCGCCGCAGAAGCAAGAAGGATGACCCGCAACCGCCGCCGGTAATAGCACATTTCGTCAGGCAGTCAGTGAGGGACGACCTGATAGCGAGACTAAAAATGAAGAGGGACTTCTCGACGCGTGATATCGGGTGGCAGGAAAACGACTGCCACCGAATTTATCTCGGCGAGGAGATGACCCCAACGAACAGGCACCTTTACTGGCTAGCCCGGCAGAAGAGAGCTGCCGGGAAGATAAGATACGTATGGTTCGCCGCCGGCAATGTGCGATGCCGAAAGGACGACGGCCATCAAGTAGTGTTGCCGAAATGCAAGATCAACGCAAGACTTGGCTAGTCTTGGTCTTGGTCTTGCAGTGTTCACACCTGGTATTGGTCTTGCACACTCAGCGTTGGTCTTAGTCTTTATCTTGCAGCAAGTCTCGCAAGTCTTGCAGGTCTTGCAATTACCTATTAGCCTATTGCTATTTATTAAACACGTTAATTTATGTCTTGGTCAAAAGAATAAATACATTGAAGCCTATCTTTTGATCTAGACATAGCAAAGTTCAACCAAATTTACTTGAATATTAGTGTTGCCCAAGCGCAAGACCAAGATCAAGTCTTGGTCTTGGTCTTGCGTCAACAAACCTTGGCCGCAAGAGCCTTGCAGTTACCTATCAGCTTATTAATATTTATTAATTATGTTACTTAACATCTCAGAAAAACGCTATAAAGATAAATACATTTAGATGTTTTACTAACGTAAACATTGTATAGTCCAACTAAATCAATAAAATTAAGAATTAAGAATGATATTGATAACCCTCCTCCATCCCTCCGATTATATGGAATGGAGGAGTTGTAGATTAAAGACATTTTATATATTGTTACCAATGATTTTAATGAAAAATCGATGATGTCCACTTACATGACTTTCCTATCTATTAAAAAAATACAACTTTAAATGTGTTCATTAGGGAAAAACAAACAATTGAATTAGATTCATTTTCTTTAAAACCAATCAGTGAAATCATTTGAGTTCGATTTCTTGGATGAACCAAGCAATGTAAACGGGCAAGTGAACACCATTAAAATCAGCTTATAAAAAACAATATACTGTAACTTTGCTAAAACTGATCCGATTCAATTGATTTTTGAAAATTTTATCTTTCAAATACTAGGCTTCAAAACAGATTCAGAAACGTTTATATCTCTTGAAAACCGATAAAATGTATACGTGGTGAGTAGCTCCCCAAAACAATTTTCTTCTCTTTATAACTTTTCTCATGAATTTTCTCGAGGATTCACTAAATATACGAAAATATTATTTTGGATACTTAGAGATTATGAACGAGTGCCGCGCGTTCTTCACATTCTTTAGATTTCTATTTAGGTTTTGATTGAAAACTTTCTCCATAACGGACTGCACACAGTAGTACCAAATGGACATGACACTTCTTGTTTGGATTAAAACTACCAATACACAATCAGGTTTAAGCTATCTAGGGCCAGATTTTCTTGTTGTTCAATTGTACGTAGTTGAATTAAATTAAAGTATTGAAAATATGCACAATAGAGGCTGAATTTGGCTAATCAATAATTTCAGGTTTCACTGAATTGTTATAAAATTTTTGTTGATGTCCACTAAAATAATTTTCCACTTTTTAGAGGAAAGAAATACGCGTCGATTGAGCAAAAAAAAAAAAAAAAAACATTTAGTTTTCTCATCGGGAACCATTTTACATTGAAGGTAATTTTGGAAGTTCCATGGTAATTATGTGTATTCGCATTCACTTGATAATTCTACTGCAAGTTTTTCGATTACATCCAATTACAAATCGATTGCAAATACAATCGATTCTGGGGTTAGGGTGTATAAAAAATATCTAAGGGGGCCGCACACTTGTAAAAGCGGCAGATATGATTTTATCCTAAGTACTCAACCCAAGCAGGGCATTGTCTTCCGTATATCCAGTTTCTGCATTAACTCAAAGGGCGCCTACCTGGGCGAAAATTTACCTGTTAAATTTTCAAGTTTGTCATGGTGCTCAACTTCTGTTTCAACAACTTCAAAAATGTTATATGAAAGTATTTCTTCCTGTAAATTCTCTCTTGAAGAACTGATAGTACCTGAAATATCATCATCATGCCAAGTTTTATTTGAATGCTCAACCAAAGCATCAAATTTACTTTTTATTTCTATCCACTTGTCCTGATAACTTATGGATGTAGCGAATTCGTCCTCCAGTTGTTTTTCATCAATATTTTCATCAACTAGTATCAACTCGATCCTTTCCAATCTGGTTTTCGATCTGGTTACTCCATACGATCCGACATAATTAAAATATAGATATATCATTAATCTATGTATATATTTTGTATGTTTTTGCGGTTTTAACATAACAAATCAATACTTTCTATTTACGTACTCTTGATATTTTTTCTTTTCTAGAGGTTTTGCTTTTTTCTTTTTATACATGTAATTCTTTTTTTTTTTTTTAGTTTTTCCAGTACATTTATAAGTATAGTTTAGAAGTTTGTATTTTATTTTTTAGTATTTTACATGCTATTATTTAAGTTGTATATATTGTTTGATTCTTTATTTTTTTATTTTCTATTTATATACATACATACATACATACATACATACATACATACATATATATATATATATATATATATATATATATATATATATATATATATATTTAAACCATATGTATTGAGAGATATTACAATCTGTCACATTTTTTAAATTTTTATATTAACTATTAATACATTCTGCCACATTAAAGGGCATATGAATCATATGTTAAGGATACATGAATCATTCACACAATATGTGCATACAAATAATAACTAACAATAATAGAAATAATAAAGAAAAAGAAATATAGAAAAATTAAATAAGTAAATAAATAATAATAATAATAAAATAAAAATAACATCTTAGACGCAGGCATACCTATTTACAATCGGTCATGGGAACTCCGAATCAGACTTGTCAACCCACTTGTGGAGGAAAAAGGGAGGCTTCAGGAGATCCCTGCGCTTCTCCCTCAACCATTTCACTGGTATTAAAAGCCAGCGGAAGCTGAGTAAGGGCGTTACAACCACAGACACTCATGACTTGAGTGGAGAATCTGGCAATTGCCAGAATTCCAATATATACATG